ATCTCCTCAGTTTTAAGGCACTCCCCTTGTTGCCTCAGCAAGTATCGGAATCTTTGGCATCGACATATCGAGTGACGTGCAGTTTCATGGTCACTTGGAAGAGAAGGCCAAATTGGCCTCTAAAAACTTGGCGTGCTCAGTAGAGCGGGACAGTATTTCATGCCGGCACAACGCCTGCAACTTTACAAGGCGCAGGTTCGGCCTCACATGGAATACTGTGCCCATCTATGGGCCGGGGCACCCCAGTGCCAGCTCCTTCCACTTGAACGCATCCAGCGCAGAGCGGCTCGAATCGTCGACGAACGAGTCCTTTCCGATCGGTTCGATTCATTGGCGCTGCAAAGAGATTTTGCATCCCTTTGCATTTTCCTTTGCATTTACCACGGGGAGTGCACTGAGAAACTGTTCCGATTAATCCCAGCCGCAAAATTTCACGAACGCATATCGCGGCAGAACTCCCGATACCATCCACACCATCTGAATGATTGGCGGTCCACCACTGTGCAATTTAGAAGATGTTTTCTTCCTCGCACTACTTCCTTGTGGAATCCATTACCATCAGCGATATTTCCGGACTAATACAATTTAGGGACCTTCAAGAAAAGAGGCTACTCCTTTTTAAAAGGCCGGCAAAGCATCTGCAATTCGCCTGGTTCCCCTGGTGTTGCAGTTGTTCATGGACGGCGGTAGTCACTTACCATCAGGTGAGCCGGATGCTCGTTTGCCCGAAGGGGGAGAATATAGGAGAAGTCCTATAAAAAAAATATTTTATACTTTTAAGTTTTTTGAAGTCATAAAGAGAAAAGAAAAAAGAAGAAATACATTTTTTTTTCTCAGAATTAGACTGGAATGAGTGATTCAGAAAATTTTGAGTCTGCAACGAAAACAAATTGTTCAACAAGTTCTGATTCATCGTAAAAGGAAAAACACAAACGAATGTTCAGTTTTTTCCGATGTTTAGACAAAACTTTTCGTTCATTAGATCTGTCCCCAATAATAATTATAAAGCACATTGAGCATTGTGCCAAAAGGACTTTAGCATAACCCACGATGGCCAAAATGGTTACAAAGAAAAGTTTTTTTTGTAACTATTGTAGCTGTTTCGATTTTAATAATAGGTGTTTCGTTCCGGACATGTTAAAATTTACTGTAAATTAGACCCCGAAATGGTTGGTTGGAAATTTTGATGAGAAGAAACCCTAAAATTAATCGAATACTTTGGGTAGTAGCCCGTTTCCGTAAGAGTATTTTGTAATCTATGGTATTTTGTAACAACAAGCTTCGACGAAAGTCATACTTGCAACTTTATATTTATTATAGTAACCCAATGGTATGGTGCAAACCACTAACTCAACAAGTCGTGGATTCAAATCCACCATTCGACTATTGTCGTAATCCACTACCAACACAAGCATTTATAGCTTACCTGGTTAATAGTATTACTGGATTTTTTTAAATAATATACCTCACAAGCTCACTATACATTTTATTTTAATACAAGTATAAATGCTATGCTTGGCTTATCGTCCTTATCATTATCATTAACATCATCATTATCATTACAGCCCTCGAGCTAAATTACCAGCCCATTGTCATCACATCGCGACAAAACTCGCGTTACCATCCATCCATACCATCTGGATGATTGGCGGTCCACCACTGTGGAATTTAGAAGAAGTTTTTTCCCTCGCACAACTTCCTTGTGGAATCGATTACCACCAACGATTTTTCCGGACCGATACGACTTAGGAAACTTCACGAAAAGAGCTTACACCTTTCTAAAAGGCCGGAAACGCATCTGCAATTCCTCTGGTGTTGCGGTTGTTCATGGGCGGCGGTAGTCACTTACCATCAGGTGAGCGGCATGCTCATTTGCCCCCTCTTCTATAAAAAAAATTGCCACTTCAACTCACTGATCCGTTAGGCTACTATTTAACTCTTGGATAATAAAATATTAATATTATTATCAGACTTCCAAAGTAAGAAAGTAGGATAAAGATAAATAAATATATAGGTACCTGGGCTGGCTGGACATAGGCCTGCTCTCATTCCCGAGAGTTTTATGGAGTAGTAAATCTGGATTCGACGTGTGTTGAGGACTTCACATACCTTGTTTTATTTTCTAAGCATGCAAGTTACCGAATAATATTTTACGACAACGCCGAAAACACGATAAATCATCAATTAAAATTGTGTTTAAGAATTTTATTGATGCCAGCTAGTCCTATGATTTTTTTTTTATTTACGTCAACTATTCAAAATATTAAAGGACATTGTAAAAACTCGCCTAAGAACCAACATATATTTGAAAATTACAAAAATTCTTATCCTTAATTATGCATTAGATAATATTCAATAGATAGTAACGGACACTTCCGAATTGTGAAATCAAAATAAAAAGGACTAGATTTTGAATTTTGTCCCAATTTTAGAATACTAATGTGCTAGGTTTATGGGCTCCGGTAATTTGGCCTATCGCACAATACCTTCACTGACATATTTCAAAAGTTGTTATAAACTCAAATATATTATGAAAACGTTAATATTTTAAAATATACCTCAGATTAATATATGCCACAAGGAATTGGGATACAGTAAAATCATCTGTTTTCATTTAAAATAACAATACTATTGTACTCTCATTGGCGAAATCGGCATTGTGCCACGCAAAAAAAATACGTCAATAACATTGATAGATGACATGACGTTAAAATAGATAGACGACAGAAGTGCGATCGTTTTCGTTATGTTTGAAAAAATACATTTCTGCAGATGTTTTCTAAATGTAAGTGCACTGCACAGTTGGTTTGTTATGCGATAAGTTTACCTAATCACAACCTGGGTTTATTTAACGTATAAGTGCTAGGCTAAGACTGAACCGCTTTCATTAGCAATAACATAGTACTCTTTATATATAAAAATTACGTGTCACGTTTTTTGTCCGCGATGAACTCCTAAACTACTGAACTGATTTTAATGAAATGTTTCACAGTGTGTTTTTAGGAGACATGGTCGTCGGAAAGGGCAGAACAACGTCTGCCTGGTCAGCTAGTGTTTCATAAAAATAAAACATAACCACATAATCTCTATAATAACTGCTAATATCTATGTTTACAGAATTGTCCGTCAGGGGTTATTGTTCTTACATACAATTATGTGTAATGTCGGACTTATAAAGGTATTTATTTTCACTGTTGGTTGTCGTCGTCTGCCAAGTGTAGCGACTATGACAAATATCATCCCTATGAGGCGATATATGCAGGAGGCCTTCGTTCAGCAGTGGACATGAAAATGAAAGCCATGCAGAGCTGAGGCAACTCTTGATAGATTTTTTTTTTCTAAAAATAATATAGAGCCATATTAGCTCAGTGGATAAGCGTTCGGGGTAAATTTCATAGAACGCGCGTTATCCGAATTCGACCGTTGCCAAAACTAATGGTATTGTTAAATGCAATTTGAAGTACCTACTAACTTAGTTAGGATTTTAGCATCCACTTACCATCAGGTGGACTGTGTGTTCGCTTGTCTATAGATATATTAAAAAAATACGTGAGTGTCGTGGAACACTCGGTTGGAACGAAGTTCCTTGCGTAGTATTTTATTATTGATAAACGTAGGTATTATATTATTGATTAACAAATACAAATAAATGAATTAACTAGCGTCTATTTTTTCATGGCAAGAAAAAGTGCGAGAGAGATGGATATTATTACATTTCACTTCCTTATTTCGCCGCCGAGGCCGTCTACACTATGACACGAGGGGTAGTGACGAAAAAATCTTACACTTTTGTCGCCTATCTTCCTTCCGTCAAACCCGTACCGTCCGATAAAGGACTTCGTTCCAATACTAAAATACACTAAGGCAGCTTAAAGGTAACGATCACAAAAATGAAGAAGCCAGTGCCTACATGTTGAACGTGTATATGCTGTATCATAACTAAATGCATCAGTATTTACACTGTATGTATTAGTAAACGCCATTAGGCTATTTTCGTTTAACTATTATTAATATTTAAATTTAAAGTGATTGAAGATACTTACATATTTTAGTTATGATATACGTACTTCATAACTGAAATATAATCTTACAAAGTTCTACTATAATCCTCTTATTCAATAAAGCAGCCTTACTAAATTATATTCTATTTATGAACCCTTTACCTATAAGCTCGTGTTGTACAAAATGTATTAGGTATATAAAGATAGGATTCACATAATCAGGATTAAAGAATGTATAATAGGTTAGGGAAAAATTTCTACGTGTTTTGTTGGAATAAAATTGAAGAAAAATCTCTTTCGTTGTTCTGTTTGTATCTGGCTGGTTTTATTATCAATACATATAGAAAAAGAAAATGTAAAAAACATTTTCCCTACATTTTACAATAGTTTTTCCGTCCGCTAAAATGAGTGAATCTAACGAAGAAGTTCGATACATTCTGAAGTTTTATTACAAAGAAGGGAATAATGCGACTCAAACCGCAAAAAACATTGTAACATTTATAGACCTAATGGTCCATAAATGTTGTATTAGCAGTGTCAGTAAGAGTAGCACAAAGTTGGTTCAAGCGTTTTCAGTCCGGGAATTTTGATGTCAAAGATGCAACTCCCTCTTGTCGCTCTCATACGGATAAAGTCGATGCCATTTTTGAAAAATTGGAGCATTATCGGCATATTAGTAGTTATGACATAGCCGAGGGATTGAGGATTGACCACAAAACAGTTTTGACACATTTGAAAAAGACTGGCTATACAAAAGAGCTCGATATTTGAGTACCACACGAGCTCACTTAACGAAACCTAATGAAGCGTGTACTCATTTGCGATTCTCTATTGAAAATTATGAAACTGAATCATTTTTACCTGCGACAAGAATGTGTGAAAAAGATAGTGGTCAAAGGATAATCAAGCTCCACAGACTGAAGCGAAACTTGGATTAACACATAATTAGGTGATGCTGTGTATGGTGGGATCGGGTGGCTGATCGACTTGATAGTTTACATGCTCAGTACACGAATAATAAAGATTGCTGGTGAATCTCAACCAATCCAAATTAAGAAAGGCTGCCCGCAGGGTGGGGTTATCTCACCTCTCCTGTGGAATATGGTCATTAATGAACTCATCAGCAAATTAAATGACAATCACTTCTATACAGTAGGTTATGCTGATGACCTGACAATACTGGTCTCTGGAAAGACAGCAAGCATAGTGTGCGACCTGACCCAAGCGGCTCTCCGTATAGTGGAGAGATGGTGCAGGGAACACGACTTAACCGTCAATCCAAATAAAACGGTTTTAGTTATGTTCACACAAAAACGAAAGCTGAATAACTATCATCTTCCAAGTCTTTTTAGCACAAAACTCCAGCTATCCTCTGAGGTAAAATATTTAGGTCTTACCTTGGACAGCAAACTTAACTGGAATAAGCACATAGAAAACAAAATCAACAAAGCTAGTATAACTTTCTGGCAATGCAGAAACATGATTGGCAAAAGATGGGGATTGACGCCAAAAATCATACTGTGGCTTTACAAAACTGTAATTCGGCCCATGATCACATACGGCGCTCTGGTATGGTGGACCAAGACAAATGAAGCCACCATAATTAAAAAGCTTCAGCGCTACCAGAGACTGGCATGTATGGCTGCCACAGGCTGCATGAGAACTACGCCAACAGCAGCCTTAGAAGCGATGCTGGAGCTAACTCCGCTTCATCTACATATACAACAAGAAGCGACTTTAGCTGCCATCAGACTCAAGACCCTAAATCTTTGGAGTAAGAATAGTGTCCCTCATACAGGCATAATTGATAGAATTCACTCAAAAATTCCTATCCTACAAGCCAAATACGATAGGATTCCTAAACAATTTGTTTTCGATAAGAAATACAAGATACAGTTAAATGAAAACAGCCAGCCGGAAGGATTAAGCCCAAAAGAGCTTACAATTTTCACCGATGGTTCAAAAACAAATGAAGGTGTAGGTTCTGGAGCTTTCTCTGAAGACCTCAATATTCACATATGCACACCGCTGGGTACCTATAACACGGTCTTTCAGGCGGAATGTATGGGTATCATTCAAGCGGCCATAGCAATAGATGCTAGGAAGGTTAATGACTTCCCCATCAGAATACTGACCGACAGTAGGGCGGTACTCCAAGCCCTGAGATGCAATGTGGTGAACTCGGGACTAATATATGAATGCCATCAACGATTAAATGAGGTATGTAAAAACAACAATGTGACCCTGCAATGGATAAAGGGACACAGTGGATCCAGAGGCAACGATGCAGCAGACGAACTGGCTAGAAGAGGATCGGCTTTGGCCACTATAGGGCCGGAACCAATCATACCAATCCCCTTTGGTAACGTTTGTTCACTGGTACGTAGACACTTCACTAATCAACACGCTCAGCTTTGGAAAAATCTAGTAGACTGTACTGTAGTAGTGTACTGACTGTAGACAAGCTAGGGATGCCCTGCCTGAAATTAACAGTCGCTTAACAAAAGTTTTAATGAGACTGAACAAGCCGCAGATTAGGATAGTAACAAGTGCTATCACAGGACACGGCACCTTTAACAAACATTTATTTACTATAGGTGTTACAGATAGTCCCCTGTGCAGGGCATGTATGGGGGAGGAAGAAACGGCGGCCCACGTGCTACTGAAATGTCCGGAGGTCGCTACATACAGGGCTAAACATCTCGGCACGCCGGGATCACTCCCCGAAGTTGCATGCAACATCAAGGGCCTGTTGAGCTTCTTCGGAGAGATCTCATGGCTCGAATAATCACATTATTCCTGCCCACACGCAAAATACGCGCATAGACGTGGAGTTGCGGAAAACAGCCCGTCGTAAACTAAACTAAACTAAACTAAAGTATGGTGGGATTGGAAGGGCATCGTTTATTGTGAGCTTTTACCGCTGGGCAAAATTATCGATTTGGATCTCTACTGCCAACAACTAATGAGACTCAACCAAGCAATTAAAAAAAAACGGACGGAATTGATCAACAGAAAAGGAGTGGTAATAAAGACACACATCTTTGGCCATTCACGTAGCCATATACGTGGTAGAGCCATGCTGCAGCTATATTTCTGGTATAGTTGTAACACGAATGGGGCGGGTCGACCGGGGAAGGATCATGCTCTCACAGAATACCAGCGTAAAATAGCAGCTTAATGCTGCTGTGTTTCGTATGGTGAGTGTAGAGAACCGGAGACCCTTTTTACTGGAAACGAGGCATTCCATCTTAGACCTCACGGCTGACAACGCATCTACATTTTGATTCGTAATCGAAGAAAAAATGTAAATGTATATGGGCCACAGCAACCACTTACCATCAGGTGGACTGTGTGCTCGTTTGTCACCCTTATCCTATAAGAAAAAAAAAGTTCAGCAAAAATTGAGATAGCTTGGTTGAGAAGTGTTAATACATCCACAACATAGTTTACCCCCAGACTTTTACCTATTTGGGTATCTACAGAATTCTTTGGGTAGGGTTAGGTTAACATCAAGAGAGGACTGTCAAAACTACTTGTCGCATTTTTTTGATCAAAAATCCTAAGGTTTCTACAGCAACGGTATTATATCACTACCTACTAGATGGCAAGAAGTTATCGAACAAAATCGCACATATATATTATAATTAAACGTAATTAAACTTTGAAAAAAGAAAATGTCTTTGATCTCTATATGAAACACGAAGAAACTTTTCCCCAACCTAACAAAGTGTACGTGTACTCCGTTACTGTGTCGCTTTTTTAGCCGATTTCAAAATAAAAGAGAAGGTTCACATTTCAACGTTACGCAATATCTTCGTCCCCATCGTCCATCATCTTGATCCCATATATATTTTGAGAGGAAAGTCTACCCTAAGGGTGGCAAAATAGGGGATGAAGTTGCTAATGGAACTATTTAGGAGATATTGCGATTTTGTGGTATAGCTTTGTCCACTCAAAAGGGGAAAAATTACTTTCATTAATAACATTCGAGGCTTTAGTTTTTCTATGCAATATATCTTAGCAACGACTTCAGAATGTGTGAAACTGCTTTACTCGTTTCAGTCATCAATCACTAATAGAATACTAGATACACAATCCCTTGCAAAATTTTCTAAAAACTATCGCCAATTGTTTTGAAGTAATTCTAGTTGAAATAAATATACATTAATGTAATTCCAACCTTAAATGCATTCCTTAAAGTATTGACCAAGTTACGTACAAATTAAAAGCGCACCCAAATGTTCAAGTAGGTGCTCATTCAGTAAGGACATTTTTGTCACTGATTGTGTATCTAGTTTTTTATTAGTGATCGAGATTTTTAGTTGTTTGAAGTCCGATTTTACTTTTAATTAAAAGCAATTTTTTGGAAATGAAATTAAACAAGACAAAATTATTCTGTTATATGAGTAGTAATATGTAGTAATGAGATGCCGTGTGGTGGTGACGTTAAAGAATCCATCACCCCCATTTGTCCCGTGCGTTTTGTAAGAGATGATTATGGGATATTCTTCACAACGTATTATGATATCTAATAGATGGCGTGTAATGAATATAACTATCTTTTCTATGCCATACGCAAAATACCCAGACTTACGACGGAAAGGAGCGTCAAAGGTGTGAAATGTCTGGTCCTGCGATCTTCAATACGCCTGCTATGATTAAAGAAAACCTCTCTACGATAAGAAACCAACCAATATCCATATCGTAGTGGACTTTTTTGGGCTGTTTTAAGAAAAAATTACCTGGTTTAGAGGATTTTTTTATAGGATAGGGTGACAAACGAGCACACAGTCCACCTGATGGTAAGTGGCCACTGCGACCCATAGACATCTACATCTATCCACAATAAAGACTCAAGATGCAGATGCGTTGTCACCCGTGAGGACTAAGATGGAATGCCTCTTTGCCAGTAAAAAGGGTCTCCGGTTCTCTACACTCACCATACGAAACACAGCAGCGTTAAGCTGCTATTTTACGCTGGTTTTCTGTGAGAGCGTGGTCCTTCCCCTGTCGAGCCGACCCATTCGTGCTACAACTATACCACTAATATAGCTGCAGCATGGCTCTACCACGTATAAAGGGATAACTATTTACCGCCATAGGTTTGCGGTTCAAATAACACGAATTGGTTTTCTGATATTGTTTGTATTGTTTGACTACAAGTCCCTCTCTGACACTGCATTCTAGCTTATCAACTACTCTGTTCTATTATCACATACATAATTTAAAATTAAAAATGTTGTACCACCGGCTTCAATATAAATTATTAAAAATTAATCAGAAAAAAAGAATAAATCATAAAAAAATAGTCAGATCTTAATCAAATTTATATGTGACCATATGTCAAGCACCAGCTTTAAATAAAAAAAGAATCATCGAAATCGGTTCACCCAGCAAAAAATTATGAAGTAACACACATAAAAAAACATACAGTCGAATTGAGTACCGTCCCCTTTTTGAAGTCGGTAGAAAAACAGCGGATAGGAAGGCAAAATAAGTGATCATCATCAATATAATTTCAATACAACTTAAATTGAATTTTATTTTTATTGATCATATAGTGGCGGTGTAAGAATGTTCACCACTCGATTTCGTTTCACGGGTGTCGTAAAAGCAACTATTGGCATATATCGCCCCTATGATTCTAAGCAAACTTCTATTTCCTCATATGGCCAGCGTTAAAAAACCACATAAAGTTAAACTTTAAACCTATATACGTCCCCTTCCTGGGCACTGGCTCCTCGTTTCTGAGAGGGTTTAAGGGCAAGAAAATGTCCGCCGCGCTGCCCCAATGCGTGTTGGGGAACTTCACACGTCTTCGAAATATGTTTTTCTTATTTCTCAGACATGCAGGTTTCATCACGATGTTTTTCTTCACCGCCGAGTACACGATAAATCAGCACTTCAAATTGCAATTAGCAATTTAATTGGTGCCATCGAGAATCGAACCCAGGCTGCTCGCGTACTGTAAAATTTACAGCGAGCGCTTAACCCCTGAGCTGTCACGGCTCTAATACCACATCTCAGATGCATATTATGTTATCACTGGTAACACGCATGCACGCAAATAAAATATTATGAAACAAATATTGTCAGTTGTTATTTTTATGTGGAACATAAGTGGCGCGCCTTAGCAGCAAAAACGACTCGTATGCCGTGACGGTAAACATCATGACGTTCTCTTTTGCTGTTAAGCCTCCTCCACGCAATCAAAGCCTGTCGTATCTGTGTATTTTTAAAGAATATACATAAATATACTTCACGCTTTCACAGCTTGTATACACACTTTGTATTTCCTTTTAATATTATTTATCTTACATTTTTTATTTATATTAGTTCCTGTTCATTTATTGGTATATTAATTATACATTCTACCATCAGCTATAACATTTCAGCTGCTGGGCGTAGATTCGAAGTAACTTATTTATTGTCAATTGAAACTAAAAATCTAAAATATGTAAATATGTTAAATAACGGTAAACGTATAAAATAGAATAGAATGATTTTTAGTTAATATTGACTATTACATAATACTTATTGAAAGTAATTGTTTTATTTACCACTGGCTCGGAAAATACCTCTGTCCCGGGAAGAACCAGTAAGAAACCCAGCGGGACCTTTTTTTAAACATATTTCACTTAACAATAATTTTGTTTGTACAATTTTTAAATGAATTTTCATAGACTCAGCATGGTGGCGATCACCTTATTTCCAGAGGTTATTTTCATTTATGTATTCCTTATATTTACTATAATTATAATTAACTATAATTACCCTTTTTGTACAGTTTTTCTTTAATAAAACTTTTCAACTTGTTTATTGACAAATTTTGAAGATGTTCTGGGATTTTGTTGATTAAAACTTATACATTGCCCCATAAATGAATTACTGATTCTGTGGAGTATAGTAACTGACTTTATAAGCTTATATTTGTTCCTAGTGTTTAAAGTATGAACATCCTTATTCTTATTAAAGCTATTTATGTTTTTATGTACAAACATTATACATTTTCATAAATATATTTCGATGCCAAAGTTAATATGTTTATTTCCTTAAATTTTTCTCTGAGGAACTCTTTACAATTTAATAAATAAATCGCTCGTACGGCTTTCTATTTCAAAACAAATATGGGTTCAACTTCAATATCAGTCGCTTTACCCCATTGCAAAATTCCATAAGACATTACGCTATGAAAGTAACTAAAATAAACTAATCTAGCTGTCTCAACATCTATAATACTTCTAATATTTCTTACATTATATG